GTTCAAGACCGCAAGCTTTACACATGCAACTAAGAATAATACTTTATGTTTATACGCTATTGAGAAGACAAAGTTCAGAACGGATAGAGTTTTGTATCGGCTTAGTGTCATGTTGTGCACTTCGAACACAGCATTCAAAATGGCAAGCGGCGCAACTTTACGAGTGAACATGCTGCATTTCACATAAGGTCATGTACTTAATGTTTTCACTGTTGGAAACTATCCTGTCCGTATGCATATAAAAGTGTACATCATTTTCAAAAAGCAGCAACAGTGACTGGGAAACGTGCTAGATACTTAATTAGCCAATGTTAGCACAGCGTATGTCTTGCAGGATTTCATTTACAAAATAACTTAACCGAGGTGGTTTTAGTCAGAAAAGTAACATTTGTGACTACTTTAAGGTACTTTGAACCTTCTATTTTTATAGGTTTTCAGGTGGAAAATGAAAATGACATTCCTTCACGAGTTTTATTGTTTCCGAACAAAGAACGTGCGCCCATTTTCATGCGACCAAAGTTCTTTCTACTAGCATCACTGCTGCTCGTTTCCTGGCCTCTTCGACTCCTAATCTACTCCCAGACTGCGATCCTACACTTTTCTTTTAGGAAACGTCTCGGTCAAACTTCTAGCGGCTATCAATCCCCTGAGTCAAATCCTCAAATGCAACCGCCCAGGCAGCACGTCTGCCTTCTAAATGCGCACAAACGCCGCGAAATTCGGACAGAAAATAATGAAGGCACAGTGCTAGGTAACACAAGATCCAAAGCTGTAATCCTTAGCAGACACAGACGAAATTGTGCCCTAAGTGACACGGATGATGAGTTGCTGTCTATTGACATACGTTTTAATCCTTCCGCGTCTTTGGGCACGTCAAGTGGCGAAGGAAACCACTGATGCCTGCTTGGCTTTTGCAGTGCATTTGTTCTGAAAAATGACACATCAATTTTGTTTAAAAGCCACGATGATTCTCAGGACAGACAATAAAGTAAAGTACAAAGTCTACTTAATGTGTACAAAACCCAGTGCTAAATGACCGAAAATTGACTTGCTGACGGTCAGGATTGTTTCTTTATCGGGTGCCGGTGACTGCATCGATTTCAGTAATGGTGCTGAAAAATTAAGGTGGCAATACACAACAAAATAAAGTTTTTACTTTTAAATCATTCTGTTCGCGGAAATCAGCTGGTATAAGAATAGGCAAAGCGTACTTCACTACAGTACTGAAGTACTAGATTGTGACAGGGTAAAATACACTGACTAGGAACCTTTGACATGAGTT